AGGGCCCTGCGCCGGCGGCCGCCCCTCTCGGGGGCATTTGGCTATTTCTAGAACCGCGGCCTTGCAGCTCCGTGGTCCTCTTTTGCCCCCTCCCATGGAAAGACTGGCAAGGGCAGGGGCCAGCGGGGTGTGTGTGTGTGTGTGTGTGTCGGGGGGCGCTCCCAGAACGCCAGGTCCTGCCGCTGGTAGGCTCGCTGCCCTGCCCCCCGATCTCAGATCCGTAGGCAGCCGCTTGGCAGGAAGAGAGATGGGCTTGGGGGAGGGGGTCGGCTGGCAGAGGGAGGGGACTGCAGGGCCCCAGCTTGTCACTTTCTGTTTATCTGCCAAGATTGGTCATATTCACACAGGCCTAGCTGGTGGGGGGTGGCGGCGAGGGTGGGGGATGCCTCTCCCTGGGGGGGGCGGGAGGGAAGGAGGGAGGTTGGGCAATGACTTACGGAGAGGAGGGAACCGGGCCTGATAATGCTGCCCAGCGGCCCCACCCAGAACAGCGTGGGGCTGCCTGGGGAAGGGGACCCGGTGCCGATTCGGATGGGTTGGAACGGTTTTTGAAGTTATTTACCTATGCCTTCTATCCTCTCCACCTCCAGTGTCTTTCCTAGCAGGAGTTGCCAAGCACATCTGGAAAGCTAGGCTCCTGGCCCACCCCACTCCACCCCCAATAGCAGGAGGGGTGTAACCCAGGGAGGCCACCCCTCTGACATGTGGTGGGGGGAGGGGCGGCGCCTTGCCCATAGGAATCCTGTGGCAGGGGCTTGTTGACTGATGTGGGGCTTGCTGTGCCTCTTGCACCGAGGAAGGAGCTGGCAGGTAGTGGAGGGGCCTCCAGAGCGTCTGGGGAGGGGGAGTCCCGGGGGTGGAGGGATGGGGTTGGGTCACCCGAACCCAGAACCTTTCTGGAGCTAGCATTTATTACTTCCTGGCTTCTGGCTCTCGGTCTTCCTCTTCATTCCCATCTGCCAGTGTCTGGCCTCCCTGGGCCTTTGAGCAGACATTTTCAGGCGCACAGGCCATGTGGCCGGTCTGTAGCCCTGGCTCAAGGAGAGGGGACTCAGCAGAGCGGGGTCGTTTGAGTGGTCTGAAAAAAAGCAGATGGGCGGCCTCAGGCTGGCCGCTGGAGACAAAGCTGTGTGGTGAGATTGCTGGTTTAGAGGGCTCTTAGCTCATGGGTGGGTGTGGGAGGGTGGACGGGAGGTTGATACTTGAGGGTTGAATTCAGTCCTTCGGTTCCAGCGTAGATCACTGTGCCTCAGAGCGAACCTTCCGTCCTGCGTAGTTGGGCTTATTGGGAAAATGTCTGTGTACCATGGGCAGGAAGGACATAGACTCAGAGGCTGGGGGAGGCTCCCCGCATGCTTGCCTGCCTTGGGATTCAGAGCTCCCACGTTGGTCTGCTCTCCTTTGGCTCCTGGCTTCCCGCAAGTCTGTTTTGGGGTGTCACTGAGTGCCTGCTGCCCAGCTTCTCTGGCTGGTTGACTCGAGTGCTGGTGTGTGCCCAGAATTTCTCCCTGTAGTGTTTTCCTGCCAGTTGTTAGGACTTGTAGATTCGTCACTCAGCTTTTACAAGCGATTCCTGAAAAGAAAAACCTCCCTCTGGTTGGTGGCTCTGTGTAGAGGAAGAAGCAGCCTGAGGGAGCAAGGCCTTTAATTAAAGCAAAACCGAAATGATTGCCACTGTTGCTGGGAGTCGGAGGAGGCGCAGGTGGGGCAGAGGTGATGCTCCTCTCTGCTGTTGGTACCTGCTCTGGGCACAGGTAGGCCTGATCCTGTTCTTGCTCCCTGGGCTTGGCCAGCAGCCCAGCCTTCTCCACAAGCTGCAGTCCTGGATTAATCCTCACGTAGTGTTTTCTTTCCATAGATCAGATTTCTCATTTTGTTAATAAGCACACAGCCTCCGATCCACTTGAAGTCAGCTGTTGTGGACTCGGAGCAACAGGGTTTTGCATTATTGAGCTGACAGGCCTGCTGCCTTCCCGGAGTCCTTATTGTCTGCCAGTGTCAGATCTGGGGGTGGGTTCAGTGCCTTTTAGTCAGCAGCTAACTCCTGGAGAAGGGCCGGCTGAGCAGTTCTGGAGAGTCAGAGGAGTGAGGAAGGAATAAAGTTCAGTTTACCCAGGGGACCTGTGGCTCTGCCCTTTTGCTTGGCCTGTTGGCCTCTAGCAGTCGCCCCACCCTGTAGCTTGCTTGCCTGGCCCACGGGGTCTGAGGGCCACTGCCCCCGGGAAGTGATTACTAGGAGGAGGGGGGGCTCTTCTTCCTGGCTGATGCCTGGGAGGCAGCTTTCCCCTGACAAGTCAGGTTCCTGCCATCCTGGCTCTTGGAGCCTGACTGAGGAGAGACTCCTGGAGGCAGTGAGAGGGGAACTGCGCTCAGAAAGTCTGTAGGGCGACACCGGCTTTGCCGTTTATTCTCCCTGTGACCTTGGACAGTGATTAACTCTGAGCCTTAGTGTCCCTGTTTCTAAAATGGAAACAGAACTTGAGTTTACATTCACGTATCGCTGCCCTCCAGAGCTCAGCCTGGGGAAGACAGACAAGCAAACAAATGATTTGTAAGATGGGGCGATAAGGACTGGCACAGTGACAAATGGAGCTCACAGGGCACCACAGGGATAGTGGCTGTGAGGCATGGAGGGAGGGGCTGGCTCTGGGCTGGAGGAGAGCCATGGATGCCATGCTGAGTTCAGGCTGGCTGGAGGAGAGGTGTTTTGTTAATCCTCAACAGAT